CTTCTGGGAACTTTTAACTCGCTATCAATACATTTAAAACTTCTGGGAACTTTTAACTCGCTATCAATACATTTAAAACTTCTGGGAACTTTTAACTCGCTATCAATACATTTAAAACTTCTGGGAACTTTTAACTCGCTATCAATACATTTAAAACTTAAAAAAAAATCAAATCTATTTTTTCCTTCTGAAATTGTATTAAACTACTTTTTATAATTTTATCACTAGGGTAAGACTTCTGAGGCTCTGGCAAAACTTATTTCGCTACAAGCAACAGAAGCTACACTTGTCGATGTAGACTCTGATTGTCAGATTATATCCGAAAAACAAATTGATGTGGAGCTTGTTCAACGTGGGGATATTTTAAAGGTTAGAAACTTTGTTATAAACAGTTCATTAAGAACTTCACTTAGATAGTAGTGTGGAACATAATAACTATGAATTACCTTCTTTTGATGTATGCTTAGGTGTATATCAGAAATAAAAAAAATAAAAAAACATATTTACTGGGTATCCTCTCTTGGCAGATCTTGCATTGTGACTTCTCAAAATATTTATTGCACTGTTGTAGTGATTTGTTAACTAGATTGATACAAAGGAGCTAATGAGTTGGGTTAACCCTTAAATGGAGTTGGCAGTCTACGCTAAAGTACTTTAATTTAAAACAGAAATGCTTTCATCATCAAACTTGTTACAAGATAAGGCCTAAAGATGAACTAACTTTGTTTAATAACATAGGATGTTTCATGCATCTAAGCTTATAGGTTTTTCAAAACATTAAATTAGGTAGTTTGTTTCCTGTTTAAATTTTAAAAAAAGAAATAACTGAGGGAATGAATCATTATGGTTTATTCGAATTAAATGTGGCTCCTGACTTTTTCTTTGCCTACTATGACAGTTAGCTCAAACACAGATTTTATGTTGCTAATGAACAAAACAACATAATGTACATATCTGAAGTATCGAAAACCTGTTGCCTTGATTTTTAAGATATGTCACATTGTTTTAGAAATGAAAGTGAAGCATTACTGGCATTTCAATAAGAGAAATAATGCTGTCACTTGTATTTGCTGTCAATCTCCTGGTGGGACAGCAGTAAGTTTATAAACTTACAATGATAAAATCTGGGGTTTGATCCCAATTGTGGACACAACAGATAGCACAACATGACTTTGCCCTAAAACAAACAAACAAAAACTATTTGCTGCCATATTGGTATTTGTCCTACCTGTTAAGAATAACTATGATATGACTGTGAGGGCAGAGCAATTGTGTAATGTTGGAAAGGTCACTTGGGGTCCAAATAAAAACCTGCAGTTTTTTTCACTTTGAAGGCCTATAAAATGAATCTTGTTTGGAGTGTGATGACAGTGTATTTCTGGTTATAAAGGTTCTTGTTGCTAACAGTTAATAGATTTATTCTTTTGGTTAATTGTTAATTCACTTCAAGGAAGGTACTGTTAATATTATTTCCTGGAACAATAAAGTATCTTGAATCCAAGTATACACAAACAAATGCTGAATCTAAAACCTATTAACATTTTTTTTTATAAGGTTATTTATAATGCTGCTATTTAAAGATATCTGAAATACAACCCTTTCAAATCATGCTTAATACACTTTTATAATATTGATGTTTAGATGAGCTATATACTGTTACAAGATTGTACCTAATACCACTAAGTTACACAGTTTTGGTTTAAACTGTTTAAAGAAATGTTTCATTAATAAAAACAGTTTTGGCTATTGTCATTGATTTCATGATTTTCTTTCCAAAATCAAAAATTTTCTTTGTGTGTTAATTAAATATTATATTTACGAATGCTTATTTTTAAATAATTGAAAACTGTCTATCTAACTAACGTATGTCTAGGTGAGAAATAACGTTAAAGTGGCAGGGACAAAGAAGCAACAATGCTAAGAGCAGTTTAATTAGTTTTCTATATAATTCTTTGTGCCAATTTTAAAATAATAGTTTTTCAATTGGTTATGAACATGTAACTGAACTAAGTAATATTGGCTGAGAAATTGCAACTCGGTTGTAAAAAGTGGGTGTGGCATCTTTCAAGAGTTCAGACAAATTTATTTCCCTTTCTCCGAACATTCCCTAGGGAACTGGAAAGAAAAATGTGTCAACAGAGCAATTAACCTAGATTCTTTCTATATATGGAAGTTTAACATGAGTCAATAATTATTCAAACTACAAATACACAAATTTACCATTTTCTGAACTTGCACAGCATGAGAGAATAAAACAAAATTTGTAAGAATTTTTCTGTAAGGTTTCTTTTGAAATAAAGGAATTAAGACTTCAATAATATAAACTTTGAACTATGTTGTAAATTTTAATGCTGATTTCTTTGAGAAACATTAATCATAAAATAGCTTAATTAAATTTTAAACCTAACTAAGTAAAATCTTGTGACATGCACAGAAAAGGGTTATTGTAAGAAAGGAGTTAAACAGATAAATCGCATCCTCTCCTGTTTTTGTTCTTACAACAAGAACCACTGAACATTTGGGAACAGTCCCTTTGGCTTCAGTCTAGTCCTGGCTTACTGGAATTCTGGAAAGTAAAACTGTAAAGTTTATTCACACTAATATGGATGATATAAAGGTCTTGATTGCTTCTTACCATCTTGGGTATATGTCCTTACTGGAGATGTTTTTCAAACCTGCTGATATCTTAATCATTCAGCAGTTTTCATTAATAAGGAAGGACAAGTTTCATGGAAGAGTAACATTGCAGGTTGATCAACACACACACACTTCTACATCATTCACTGCAACTCTGAAGTCATTATCATCCATGTCTCCATTTCTCAAATCATTAGACATATAGTGATCTCTCTATCATTTGGAGTATTTAAATAAACGCAATTTACTCCAGAGTGGTGATAATATTGATGGGAGGAGTTGATTTTGGGAGGTTTGCTCTTGGATCTTTTCTATTTTAAATACTGAAGAATATACTTATGTCCATCCTCTGATCAAGGCACTTACTGCTATTGATCTATCTCTTTCCATTCTTTCTTTAGAAGGTAGACAATGAACATTTTCCCCCATTTTTTTAAGAAAAAGATTGTCCACAGTCAATGCTGATCAACTTGTGTACAATGATAAGAATTGGAAAAAAACCAGTCGTTCCACCACCAAACCTTCAAAATTGGTCCTACCATCATTAATTTACTCACTGTTAATGAATGCAACTTTCATCCCTAAACTCTCAACTTCAAGGGGTACAACGAAGTTGAAAAAAAAACCTGGAATTTCTGCAAATACCCCTATTCTGTCCAGCTTCATAACTTTTCAGTAGATTGCAGCCTAAGTCCATTAGAGCCAAAAAGAATTTCGAATTAGGTTCATGTTCAGCATCTCAGTTCCAAGGTCATCTAGGACAAGATTCAGAAGGTGAATGGGAAGTGTGTATCATATCTCTCTTCAATCTTACAACCAAATGGCCAAAAAATTATGACTTCTAGACAATTACTGATGCTGTCATTCTAGCACATTCACCTCATTTCTTGACTTTTTGGCCTTCAAATCACTGGCCAAAAGAATTATTTTTTCTTCTCGTAATGATTGTCTCAAGGACTACAACAGAGCTTTCACTCTGGTGGAACTTAGAATGGCTCTGTATTGATCTGACCAGATGATATCCATTTTGAGATGTTATGCCATTTCTCTGTTTCTGTGGGTCATCTTCTAATTGTTGTCAGCTAGATTTAGCAGGAAGAGTCATTTTCCTAATTTCTGGCATTGGGCAATTTTCATACATTTTTCAAAGTCTAAGAAGGATCTCAGATTTCTTTCTCATTATAGATCCAATACAGTAACCAACTAACTAGCTATGTGAAGAAGATGATTAATGCTAATTTTGTTTGGTTCCTTAAATCAAGCAACATCTTTAACATTTAATGTAATTTTCTCAGGCAGCAATCCACATTAAACCAATTGATTCAACTTGAAACTCAATCAGGGAAGCCATTCTCAAGAGTGAACATCTTGTTTTAATACTTTTTTTAATTTTGAGAAGGCTTATGACACCATGTAAAGGTTCAATATTTTACAGTATCTACATTTTAATGGTTGCATAGCTATTTGCCCATGTTTGTAGCAATGAAGTCATTTTGAGTCCATGTGAGATCGTTAATATTCCAGTCCTTATGCAGAAGCTTTGAGTACCTCAGGGCTGTGTATTGTGTCTCACAGATTTCAACCCAAAGATCAGTACCATCATTAAACTTTATCCAACAGTTGTAGACAGCCTCTATGTCAATGAATTTGAGATTTCCTTTCAGTCATTGAAAATAAAGTATATTGAGCAGCAGCTCCAATGCTCCAAATTGTCCTCAATAAACTGTTGAGTAAATGATTACAAATAGTTGTAAATGTTCATCATCTAAAACTATTTGTATGCATTCTTGACTATTGCATAGTGACTCCAAGTTCCATCTAAGAGGTGCCTGGGTTTCTCTTCTGACTTCTCTTTGACAATAAACTAACTTTTATTCCACACATGAAGCACTCAGAGGCAAGTTACAAAGACAATGAACATCCTCTGTGTTCTTTCTTCCACTTCTTGGGGAGTGGATAGATTTCCCAGATTTATTTTGTCTTCATTTGATCTAATTTCCAGGCCTATACCTCAGCCAGAAAACCTGCATCAAAGATTTTAGACCTTGTGCATCATCAGGAACGGAACCTTGGCTCTACCGTCAGTTTCCACATTTCTCCAGTCCAGAATCTGTACACAGTATTATTAACCTGGACTGGGCATAGTTAGTTTGTCAAGACTAGCATCACATCATTGTTTTGTTTGACAGCCTCTGACAGATCTATACACTTATGAATGTGCCACCTTCTCTCATTTTTCCTGGATTATTCTGACATCTTATTGATTCTTTGTTTATTTGTAACCTTAATTGGAATGAACATCAAAATATTGATGGATTATTAATATTTACATATACATCATGTGAAGTGACAGCAATCATTGGTTGATGTTTACATCAAAGGTCTAATATTATAAATAGGTCATTAATTTATTGAGCAATTGCTCTGATCCCTAAATAATGTTTAGTCAGGATGAGTGAAAAATGTTCAGGAAACTACTGCTGAGAATAAACTCGACATCTAAAGTTTGAAATGTTTTATTATGACTTTGGAAAATGATATTTTGTAGAACAGGATGAGTAAACATTTTATGTCACTTACCTTGCAGTGTTAATAGTCATTCCAAAGATTTTCAAGCCCTGTGCATGAAAATATCAGGGAAACAATTTTGATGTATTTTAGTGCTCATGTTACTAAATAAAGAAGATGGAAAACACCTAATATGCCTTCATATTCCAAATAGAAAAAGCTTTTTGTTGTTACCTAAAATGCTTTGTATCAGAAAAAAATAACTTTGAAAGATGGTATTGTGTCATTCTGATAGGTGATTGATTCACTTGTAAATGTAAAGCTTTCTGTGATGGTGTTTACTTGTGTGCTACATTATAAATCTGTAATAATATATGAATAAATGTACTTTGTTAAATTTCAAATTTCACTAGGTACATGTGCTTATTAATCTTGGATTGAAACAAAAAGTATATTATGTAATTGCTGTCTTGACTCAGTATGAATTTAAGAAGAACAGTGTTATTTATGACAACTAGTGTTTTTATCATGGTGTTTGAATTTCAGGTAGTTCCCGGTGAAAAAATACCAGTTGATGGCAGAGTTACCTTTGGAAATTCAATGGCAGATGAATCACTTATTACGGGGGAATCTCTACCTGTAGCCAAACGTCCAGGTTCTCAGGTTATTGGAGGTTCTATCAACCAAAATGGAATGCTACTTATCAGTGCTACCCATATAGGGAAAGACACAACATTAGCCCAGATTGTGAAACTGGTTGAAGAAGCACAGACCTCAAAGGTACATAATAATTTTAAGTTTGTTATTTTAACTCTTAGATACCCAGTAATGTAAATAATGTATAAATTGGATAAGCAAAAAAAAAAATATGATACATTGACACAACCAATTTCTTTAACAACTGTAAACCCCCCAATTAGACCACCTGTAACTCTTCTTTTTTCAAGAGAAAAATTCCAGGGATCACATTAGTAGCCCTTCTCTGATCCCTTTCCAATTCAACGTCCTTCTTAAGGTAAGAAGCTTATTAAAACTGAACACAGTACTCTAGATGTGACTTATCCAATGACTTACACAATGAAATTATAACTTATTTAGCCTTCTATTTCTGTAGACACAACCTAAAATTTTATTTATCCTGTCATTAGTAATGGCACATTGCTTGGACGGCTTTAGAGACTGAGCAATTAGAACACCAAGATCTTTTTTCTTCCATAACATTGTTAAGGTAATTCCCATCAAAATTATACTCATAATTTAAGTTATGATATCTCACTATTACCTTGCAATTATTATAATTAAAATCCATCTGTCATTTATTTGCCGAACTCACCAAGTAATGAAACTTCTTTGGTAAAGAAGCATCATCCTCTTCACAGCCAGCAACACCCAAAACCTAAATATCACCAGCAAATTTAATTAATTTACTGATCATTCCTTCATTTATGTCACTGATGTAAATCAAAAAGAAAAAAGGTCTTAACAATGAGCCCTGGGGTACCCAACTTGACAGAACTCCATTTATAAACGACCCTCTGCTTTCTTCCATCCAGCCAGTTTTCTATCCAATGAGACAACCTATCCCCCCAAAACCTACATAGACACTTTTTTAACAATCCTTTTATGTGATACCTTGCCAAATGGTTTCTGAAAAATCCAGATACACAAAGTCCATACATAAGTCATCAAGCAGTAACTTCTTTAAAGAATGTCAAAAGATCAGTAAGGTTATCCAACAAAAATCTTCAACTTTGTTAAATGATTTTGCAAAGCATCTTTCATCAGACTTTCAAAAACTTTTCTCACCACTGATGATGACTAATATGTCTATAATTACTGGGGGTAATTTTTAACACATCCTTAGAAAAGAGGAGTAATATTAGCCAACTTCCAATCAACTGGTACCTGACCACTATTCAATGGTAACAAGTGGCTCACCTATCCAATCACTTCAAAATTCTAGGGGAAATATTAACTGACCAAGAAGTTTTACTATTCTTTATACTTTCCAGTTTTTACTTAACAAACTTAGGATTAATTTAATCATCTTGTTCAGTCTTGCTTTCATCTGGCAACTGCTCAGGATAAGGAATATTGCTTAAATCTTCATTATTGTAAGTTGAAAAAAAAGTAAAGTTTAACCATCATCATCAAATATGAGCCTTTCTATATCATCTCTCTAAAGTCTTACTCTCATCCTAAAATTTTGCTTACACTTAATATATTTAACTCTTTCTATACATGCATCCTTTTCTGTGCATGTCACAAGGTTTTACTGAGTTATATTCAAAATTTAATTAAACTCATTTATTATCATGATATATGAATAAAATTGGCAACAAAACATAGCTAATAATTCATATTTTAATATAAGTTTTAAATTCGTAACTTATCAGGCAATATTTAAAACAAATCCTCAGTTCCCTTAATATGAGAATTTTGACATTTGTTCTCTTGGTATCCCCTTTTCTCTAATTTATTTATTACCCCTCCAAGAAGTACGAAATTTAGTGTATATTACTCGTTATAACATTGTTATTACTTGGGCAAATAATATTTTTATAGCCTTCAATCTTATTTAGTTACAGGGCCATAAAATAAAAAATTAGAACCATCTTGCCATGTCCACCTGTCACATCCTCTCTTTCAGAAATTGCCAGTAGTTCTCTCTGACATTTAACACTGTATTATTTATAACCAATAGAAAACCAAAGTTTAATCTGTCAAATGTATTTTATGTTATATTGTTTTCTGTACAGAGAATTGTTTATTTCTCTTCCAGTTCAAACTTTATTTTCATAGGAAACACGTCGACAAGCGTAGCTGAATGTTTAATAGCTCTTATCACATAGGTAGAAAGCCAGAAAAATTACGATAGTTAAAGAACATTGTATGCTTTTTACTTGTTATTATTCTGTGTTATTAGGTGCATTATTTAATTAAATAAAAAATTATTTAGTGCAGTGGTACCAGTAGTATATAGAAAAAAAAAAAGTAGGGTTAAGTTTCATCAACAGTTGACAGCAAAACAGTTTCATGTATATTCTTTATTTATGATTATAAAAATACTAAAATGTAAAAAAATAGGAACTTTTTAGGTTAGATAAGGACAGACTAGATAAATAAAGAAAAAATAAATCAATAAAATTTTCACAAGGTAACCTTGTCGGCAGTTTATGAGTAGCCCATGCATTATATAATTCGATAGGGTAACGTGAGCTACACATTTGCCAAGTTATTTACAACTTGTGTGATGGGAATAATAGTTAGACACAGTTCAAAGGACAATAAAACAATAAAATTTAAGTAGAAACAGATGTATACTGTTACATGTTTTTAGCTATTTAGGATAAACAAATTTAGTTTCATGTTGGAATCTGAATTTCTCTTTCAGCACAAGCTTCGTTCCCATGGGAAACACATCGATTAGCTTGGATGAATTTGTAATGACTTTTGTCCCATAGTTAGAAAGGCAGAAAAATTATGATAGTTATGGGACATTGTAGGCTTTTTGCACGTTATTATTCTATGTTCTTTGGTGCATTAATTAAT